TCGTAGGTGCTGGGCTCGCGGGGCACGGGTGGCGGCGCCTCGGGCACGGGCACGTTCTCCAGGTCCAGCAGCCGCAGCTTCATCTCCATGCTCAGCAGCGTGTCCAGGTCGCTGCGCGTCAGCTCGCTGCTCATGTCGCGGCCCAGCAGCGCGTTCAGCCCGTCCGTCCAGATGCAGTACTGCAGGGCACGGGGGTCAGCAGCGCGGGCACGGGCACGGGCACGGGGGTCGGGGCAGACCGGGACCTGGGGCTGGGGAACCCGCGTGTAGCCCGTCCGTCCAGATGCGGTACCGCAGGGCACGGGGGTCGGGGGAGACCAGGACCTGGGGCTGGGGAACCCGCGTGCAGCCCGTCCGTCCACATGCGGTACGGCAGGGGCCGGGGGCCGGCAGCCCAGGGGCAAAGCCCACAGGAAGCTGTGCTCTCCTTCCACCACCCCAGGGAGGGCAGGGAGCCAAGCCCGCCGCCTGCCCAGTGGCTGAGCACAGCACCCAGGCCCACAGGCTCTGCTGCAGGGGCACTAAGCCCTGGGCCAGCAGGGCCCGGCGGGGGAGCGCAGGGGGCTCCGGTTACAGGGATAATGGATCCTTGCTGAGCTGCTTTATTCTCCCGCTCTTCTCTCCTGTGATGAGGCCTTGGGTTTCTGTAACCGCCCCCGGGGCCTTTGCAGGGAAGGGGGCAGTAAGCAGAGAACAGGAGGATGCTGCAAACAGGCTCAGCGGGGAAGAGCTGGTTCCTCTCAGGCTCCAGCACTTGGGCACGCTCCTAGCCCGTCTCCACAGCACTCACCTCATACTTGTTAGGTGCAATGAAGTTCAAGGTCTCGTCAGGATCATACAGTATGGAGAAGGCCAATTCTAGCACTTCCTGCAGGGAGAGGAGGCTTTTCACTCAGCAGCTGGATGGCGCAGCAGCACCGTTCCTTGCTCCCAACCCAAATCCACTACAGCTCTGGGCCCCTCCAGGACAAGCCAGCGCTGCAGCAGCCCCAGGCCGATGGTGCTGCGAGCCAAGGCACCCTGCCTGGCTGCGTCTCAGAGTAAAGCAGCAGAGCCGGGGGCCCAGATTTGGGCTGGCACCATGGGTAAAGGCTCTCATGCTTCAGCTGCTCTCACACCCCACAAGCAGCATGGGCTTCCTCCTGGCAGAGGAGGGAGCAGTTACCTTGTTCTGCTTCAGGGCACTTTTCTCCTTCATGTGAGGACAGTCCTTCCCCGTGACAACAGCCTTGATGTCTGCAACTGGAACTAGAGGCAAAACAGGGAGAGTCAAGCAGGGCCCTGCTGCAGCGAGACACTTCCCTCGCCCTTTTCTGCAGCCTTCACTACAGGAGCCCCTGGGCCCAACCACACCGGTTTATGCATGTGGCCCGTGCCGTGGGAAGTATGGAGGTCATGTAGGGGCTCCTAGAAGGGCCAGGGACTAAACCCAGATTCCCCAAGTCCCAACCACTGCCTTGGCCCCAAGACTCCTCCCGTCCCAGCACTGGTGCCCAGCAGTCAGATGGCAGAGGATGGGGCGCTGCAAGTCATGCTCAGTACTCGGGAAGAATCACAACATACTTTTCTCCTGCAGGGACTCGAAGGTCACTTCCCCCTGGGCATTGTCTTCCAGGTCTCCATAGTGCAGGACCTTGTGGTTCAGAGCCAGGCGGCAGTACCAGAACCTCTCTGCAACACACGGGCACATGCAGCATGGAGTGAGCGAGCAGGCACTCCCAACAAACCCCCTCGCACCAGCCCTGCAGGGCTGCCTACCTGCTGAGAGCAGGTGGAGAGGGGGCTGCGACCGACCACGGTGCAGCTGGCTGGGGTGGCATGTTGCACCGCAGCCAGGAAGGGGTGGCCACACAGCCCCGGGGGCAGTCGGTGGTTCAGGACCTCGCAGCTGGGTGGCAGGGAGCCAGTAACAGCCATTTTACCTTGGCAAACTGCTACCCCAGGATGGAAGCAGCCAGACTGCACCCACACCCACACCCCTGCAGCTTGCACCCGGGGATGTTCACCCCTAATTTCCTCGAGTTTTCTACAGTGGCTGAAGTCAGCACAGGTTAGGGACTTGCTTCATTTGTCTGCTGCATTTTTCTCCATTGAAGTGACACTCCACAGAGTGACCCCAGCTGCCCAGAGCCCCTCTCCGGCAGCACCACATAGTCCCGCGCTGCATTCATGCCCGCTCCCAGGCCTTGGGCCCCACCTTGTCTCCTACGGTTCCCAATTTTCCGGAAGCTGCTCCCCTCACACAGCCGGTTCAGACGCTGCTGCTTTATCAGCTCCAGAATCTCAGGCTGGATTTTCTCCCTCAGTTCCCTGAAGAAAAGAGACAGTGGCATGAGCAGGGCGCAAGCACAGTGGCCAGCAGTTGCAGTCACATGCCTGGGCACGAAGGCAGAAACCCCTGAGGTGCTCACACAATGGGCGGTGACTGGAAGTCGTCCTGGCTCATCCTCTCGGACTGCCGTAGCCGCAGAATCTCCGAGTAGCTCAGGCTGCGCAGCTTGCTCTTGAACTGGTCCAAGGAGTTGGGCTTGGAGGGCAGAGCCCGTGTGATCTGCTCCCGTACCACCTGCATCACCTGGTGGGAGGGAAGAGGTGTGTCACCTTCCTGTGGCCCAGCAGCAGCTGATCTCTGCCCAGAGGCTTGTGCAGGGAAGGCAGGACCTCAGGCCATCCCACACGCGCTCTGCAGGCTCAGGAAGGGGGAAGCGGCACCAGTCCTGGCTAAGCCACCCTCCTACACCAGTATCCGCATCACAGCCCACCCGTGACATGGCCTCACACCCCTGCTGGCAGCTGAGGCCGTCTGTGCACAAGTGTTCCCCCTGTGGCAGCCCTAGCAGGTGCCCATCACTGACCTTGTTGAAATCCTCTGCTGTTGCTCTCATCTCCTTCCAGGTCTTGTTCAGCAGCTGGATGCAGATGGCAAAGAGCTCCTCAAATGCTCGGTCATGGGTGAAGAACATGGGGTGGTAGTCATTCCGGCCCTCATTGGCTTCAGGGAGACATGGGAACTAACTGTATGAGTGTCCCCGGCAGCGGGTGCTGGAATTCACGAGAGGGAGCAAGCGCAAGGGGCAGCTACTATGTCTTGGGATCCAAGACACAAGCCTGACCCTGGGGGCCTGGCTCAGGGGGTCCCTCAGCTGGCAAGGAACAGGGTCGCCTGCTTGCTGTGCAGCCCAGCCTTGATGGTCAGTCTCCACCTGCACCTGGTGGCACAGAGCTCTGGTACTCGTGCTGCCCCTTAGGAGACCCCAGCAGCGTTCCTGGGGCACAAGCAACTGTACTGCTGTGAGATCCAGCCCCGTGCAGCACTGCCCCAGGCTCCACAGCACAGAGACATGGTCCCGGGTCTCCATGGGTGACAGCATGCACAGCTCCAGGCTCATGGCTCTGGGGCCAGGAAGGGTGCTCTGTGCACTGTTCTGGGGAGGGGACAGGAGGGGAGCCCTAGCCCTGAATACAGTGCCTGGCAGCTGGTGGTGCAGGGCAGGAGGCACTTACGGAGTTCCCCGACTTGCAGGATCTCGCATAGCATCTTAGTGAGCTCAATAGCGCTGCGCCCGAATGGGCACTCATGTTTGTCCTCCCGGCTGCTGTTCTCCAGGACGATCTGGGGAAGAGGGGGTGTGATCAGCAGCCAGTGGGGGAGGAGGGCAGGGGAGCTGCGGGTGGCTTCCACCCCTCTTACCCTGATGTAGGTGTCCTGATGGAACTTGGCCAAGTACAGCATGTTGTCCAAGGCCAGCATCCCTGGGGGCGTCTGGGTGAAGTCCATGGCTGGATTGATGTGATTCTGTAGATACAGGTTAGTGCCAGGGTCTCCCTAGAGAGCCCCTGAATACACCCACAGCTGCCTGCCACAGGACCCCTGTAACTTTCCTATGTCCACCGGAAAGGAGCCAGCCCAGCAGAGCACACGCAAATGCCCACCCCCACATCAATTCTCCTTAATGCTTCACTACTTCTGTGGCTCTGTACAGAACCATATGTGCAACTCGCACACAAGACCCCGGGTCTTCTGATGGGACTCTCATGCACCACGCACAGGAGAGTACGGCTCAGACCCTGGCAGCGAGCCCACAACAATCAGGCCCAAGAACCCATCTCATCTGAGCTCCTTTCAGGAGATATCCTTGCCCAGGGTATGGAAACGGGGTTGTGTGATGTGCTGCAGTCAGCAGCCTCCTCCCATAGCCCTGCCCTCAGATGGGTACCCCTGTTACTGCGCACACAGCAGTCAGCAATGCCCCCAGATACGTACAGTGAATCCCAGCATCTTGTAGTCCTTGGTGTACATGGCTTTGCGTTTCTCTGTCCCGCTCCCCGGGACGGTGTTGCTGTCAGACTCAGCGTCAAAAGCGATTCTCCTCAGCTCAAAGATGATGTCTCTCTGTGCCTGAGGAGCAGAGGAAGTGTGTCAGTGGTGACACTGGCAATGTTTTTCTGCCCCAGCATGCTGTCCTGCCTCCCCGAGGGCCCACACTCTGCGCACCCAGGGAAGATGCTAGGAGTGCCAGCGTCAACCCTCGCTGTGGAGGAGGGACAACTTGTGAAGCCCAGGGAAATCCACCCACCCTTCCAGAATCCTTGCCACCCCACTGAAGCTTCCCAACCTGATCATTCGGGTCCATTTTGGTCATCATCCGCTCCTCCAGGAGGTTAAAGGTCAGCACCTGCAGCACATACAGCTGATGCGCCATCTCAGTTTTGATCGGGCGGTTTCCTCTGATCACGTGCTGCAGCAATTGAGGGCAGGGGCATGAGTGAACACAGCAAAAAAACCACACTGCTCCCAGCTGCGTGCTGCAGGGCATGCCAGGCTGCTGCACCCTCGGGGGCAGGGACCCAGCACGGCCAGCTGCCCACACAGTAGCTGCTTTCAGTCAGGAGCAGACCCCTGCCAGGAGGAGGAAACACCAAGAGCTCTCCCCTCTCTAGAGCAAGTGGCATTAGTTCCACTCTCCACAGGCAAAAACTCCCACAAGTGCCCTCAGGGCAGCAGGATTTATGTTCAGCATAAACCAGGCTCCATTCAGCAAGGGCTGGGAGCTACTGGCACCTACTCACATTCAGGATGATGGACCTCAGGTGCTTCTGGGCAAATGCATTGGCCATTTCCTGTCAGGAATTCAGAGAGAAAAGGAATGTGAGCAGAACACAAAACCCAAGCCTGCCTCTTGTGGGAAGGGAGAGAAAGCTGAGCGACATGGGTCAGCAATGTGGACTGCTGCGCTGGAAGCAGCCAGTGCAGCATGGCTCACCCCCAGCCTAGGAGGGCATGCTCGGGGTGGTCTGGGGAGGGAGCTCAGGCTGGCTGCTTCCTGCCTGTGTCGGAGCTTTGGCTGTGGGGAACACACCGTGGGTGACAAACAAGACCGTGCCAGTGGCCTGTCAGCTGGGGAGGCACGCTCCGACTCATGCAGGGTTGCACTTGGCTGTAGGTTTCCCAGGAAAAGAACAGCCCATCTGCACTGGGTACGTGCACCTGGCAGCACGAGCACAACGACACCAGCTCCCCCCACCCGCCAACAGCTGCTTGTTGCTCTCATAGCTCTTCCTCTGGGCCTGTGTGTCCCTTGTCTCAGCCCCAAAGGCAATTCCTTAGGGCAGCATTTAAGCATTGCACAGTGAGCATGTCCCTTGTTCCAAGGTGGACACGAGCCTGCCACAAAGCTGGGGGAGCAGCAAGCCAGTGGAGGAGAGCACCGGGCAGCCCTATCTGTACTGGGGGGGAGCTGCGCCAATGCTAACGGGCTTGGGGAAGATTTCAGGTTGCTGGCACAGGCAAGGCCTGGCAGGGGACTCGCAATATGCGAGGACAGACCTGCTGGACCACCTGCCAGCTGGAGGAAGCCTGGCAGAACTGCCCGTTTAAGACCCCCTGCACTCTGAGGCTTGGCATGCCCAGAACCGGAGGTGAATGCACCACTCCCATTGCCGCAGCTGCTGCCACATGGCCACACCATCCTGAGCAGCCCAACGCTGTCCCGGCTACCCGGCCCCTCAATTCCAGCCCAGCTTGTGCCAGACTGCACAGGAAGCGTGACAGAATGCACATGGCAGCAGCACCCGGGGGCTCTGATCACACTTCTGGGAACACACTGCTGGAGAGGGGAACCCCTATGAGAAGCCCAAGTGATGTGCTGGCTTCTAGCTAGCCCGTGTCAGGGTACGAGCTCAGCAGGATTCACAGGCTTGCTATGGTCAGAGCAAGCAAGCATTTGGGTGACACCTAAACCAGCACCAGCAAGCTGCAGGAAGCGGTTCACAAACTGACACTCTGCCTGATGATGAGTCAGCCTGGTTTCCTTTTACTTATGACTCTCCCGTCAGTAGCACCTATGAACTCTGGTCAGAGACCAGGGCCCCAGCTGCACTCAGTGCTAAACACAGACGTATGGGTGTCCCTGCTCCAAAGAGCTTGCGCCTCTACACAGGAGGAGACAACAGGCAACCACAGCAGATAAACAGTGGGACAGATGGGAGACAGCAAGACAATCCAGACACACGTAGTAGAAGCATGAGCACACATGCTGCCTAGCTGCAGCCAAGCAAGATCTTCCCAAACACCCAGGCTCAGCACTAGGGAACACTTCACTGGTGGCTCTGCTCTTGGGATGGGAGGCCCAGGAAAAACGAAGCAGCCATTAAGGATCCCACTGGGAATTTGATGAGCTGCGTGTTAAAGCCTTGTGGCCCCGCAGAATTCCTACCCAGGTAGTTACGTCCTTCCTCCTGAGGTGCCAAGTTCATCCACTTTCTCTGCTGGGATCTTGCCTGGGGTTTGGAGAATCCACAGGGCCCACCTGAGAGGGGGTCTCATGTGGAGCAGGCACAAAGACCTCTCTGCTGCTATAAAGTCTGCAAAGCCCCCAGGAGCCTTCAGCTGGAACGCTCCAGCACACAGCATGTAGAGAGGGAAGCCTACAGCTCCTTGCAGGCAGCTCCCCACAGAGCAGCCACCACGCAGCACAGCCCAACCAGGCAGGACCCAGGCTACAGCCCTAAGCACACATGGGAAGGGATTAAATCTGCCGTACACCAAAGGAGTGGTGGCACAGGCTCCACTGCAGGCAGCTCAGGATGCCTGGCCTGTTTCCGTGGAATGGGCTCAATTTGAACGTCAGTTTAGCTGAATGGCTTTTACACCAGCCTGGAAGTTTTCCAGAGCAAAGAACCCTTTACAGAACATTACCGTCAGCAGTCTGTGGACAGGCTAATGCCCCTGGGCCTCCCAGCCCCATCCGCCCCCTTCCTCCCTGATGGTCCCCCACCCCTGTGCTCCAAATCTCTGGCCCTAGGAGACTGAACCGGAGAAAAGCTTCCTATTCCATGCCTACAGCTAAGCAAGTGCCTGACCCAGCCCCGGCTTGGAGTTACTTACAGTGACAGGCAGGTCTAGCGGGTTAAGGAGCTTGTCCTGCTGGCAGAAAGCAAAAGGCACAAAGAAAAGCAGACAGAGGATTTAGCTCAGAGCCCAGAGAAAGGGGTACAAACAGGGCCCCAGAGGACAAAGGGTTCACAGAACAAAGCTACAGGAAGCAGACATATGCACACACCAGGCCTCCCCTCAGGTTGCCCACGCAAGCAGGAGTCCTGCTCATACACATGGGCTCTGTGGGGCCCCCATAGGGCACATGCACACAGAAAACATCCACCACGGAGGGAGACCCTGGGACTGCTGTGGCTCCCTCTTCCCCAGCCCACGGTGCTCTCTTGCCTTTCTGCTGGGGCTGTGCCTCCACAGGGCTGGCATGCTGCCCCTGCACAGCCCTAGTCCTCTGCTGGACACCCCCTGCCACCACACCTCTGGGAACTGCTGCACTCTACCCCCGTGCTGCCCTGCGGATGCAGGTCCTGCAAGGACCAACAGATCTGGGCAGGGCTCAGGCACCCTTGCCGGGGCAAGGGCGGTTCTCTAGTGCTGCAGGTGCAGATGTGCAGTCTGCTATTAACCCGGGCCAGAGGTTTGGCTAGAGAGTGGGCACAGACCTGTCTCTTGTCCTCCGGTGCCTTCAGGAAGAGGGCGTTGATCAGGGCAATGGCATAAGTCTGAATCTCCTGATTCGAGCTGCAGGAGCACAAAGATGGAAAAGCAGAGGTGAGCATGGCTGAAGCATGCAGAGCAGATGGGGGACAGCTGTTACCTGGGCGCGCTCTCATACTCTGGGACCTGTGGAAGCACTTCTGCCTGCAGCTCCCCAACCCTGCCTAGGGCAGAAGGGACCCAGGCCTGTTTACTAGCAAATCACCAAACTACTCAGAGCTGCAGAGACCAGGCGCAGAGATGTTGCTCTGGCCAGAGGCAACAGACTTTGACTGGCTAGAAAGCACGTCCACGTTGCAGCCTGTAGTTCAACGCAGCACAGAACCTCCTGGATAGCATGGGTCCTGGAAGAAGCCTGGCTGTAGCTGCACAATCTCACTACTGGCCAGTTTTACCTGCTGAGAAGCTGGATGCCACAGCTTAATGGTTTCTGATGCCTAAGTCAGCTTCGGTCACCCTCCTCCCCTGCAGCCTACAGCAGAAACATAGCCAGGGAATGGTAAGGGAAGGAGTCTGGCTGGCTCCATAAATGCTCACCCTTGGTTTTCTTCATCTTGGCAAAACCCCAAAACATTCCCCATTCTCAGAAGCTGTTGCTAGTTCTGTACTTCCTTCTCATTTTGCAGCCTTCTACTGCTAATGAAGAGGCTTTGTACCACATTTTCTAATTGTAAAATCTCTGGTTTTCAGACCAGTTTTCTCCTGAAAAGTTCACACATGAAGCTGCAGTTCACTGGGTCCTTCCTTATCTTGAGCCATCAGAACAGCACACACAGCGGAGATCAATAAGCTAACATCCTGCACTATGTCTGCAACCACCGCCCCCCCTCAACCTTTCCACAGCCAAGGCCAGACATGTGAAACACTTTAATCAGGCTGTGGTCCTCCTTCAGGGTTTTCAGGGGCAGAACGCTTCTGGATATGTCTTTTGGATCCGGTGATTCAGGAGAAGATTAAATGTCTTCAGAAACCACCCGCAAGTGCATGGGTACAAACATAGAGGGGATGTGATGTTCACAGCTAACTGGTGAGCGGTGCAGGCACTACTGAGAGAGGTGACATTTGCTTGTATGACAAGCACATAGCTTTAGTCAGCTACATCTAAACAGATGATGGATCACTACTGATACAGTCAGACGATGAAAGGGAGAGGTGCTGAGTGCCATGTGACTTTCCAGGATAGCCAGTGCTGCCGACTGGACAGATCTTGGCAAGAAAATGTGTCAACAACGTGCCAGGCAGCCACCATTCTGAAATGACCCTCCAGAGACCCAGAAGGAGACTGCAGCCTGTGGTCCCAGCTGTACACACAGGCAGGGTCCTACACACCTGAAGTTCCCCGATTTCCACAGGGCTCTGCTCAAACGGATCCAGCTGCAGGACAGGGGACTGTGCAATTCAATTCTTTCACAACTACCCTGGGGCATCCAAGTACAAGCACAGGAACACACAGGGCTGGAGGGGATCTCCTGAACCACTGAGTCCTGCCCCTGCCAAAGCGGGCACCAGGCCAGACAATCCCATTCACAAGCTGCACCGTCTCCAGTGTAAAACTATTCAGGTTCTGTGGAGACCTTGCTGCTCTGATGCTTAGAAATCATCTTTTAATTTCCATTCTGGATTTACTTGTAGCCAGTTAATATTCATTTGCCTTCCCTTGCCCCGATCAGCCTCAGTGCCATTCTCTACACCTGCACCATTCTGATTCATCCTTCTTGAACACGTGGGACCAGAACTGTACCCAGGATTCCAGATGGTCTCGCCAGAGCCTTGTCCGATGGCATTCGTACTTCTGTCTCCAGTGGAAACACCTTGCCTGACATCCTGGGATTGCATTCGTCTTTTCCATGGCAGCATAATTTTGGCAGTTCAGGGTCAACCTTCAATTAAATAATACTCCTGGGTGTCACTCTTCCTCTGCTGTTTCCAGCTGATGAGCTGCTCTAAGCTTACAGCAGAAATTCTTGTTAGCCCTTAAGCACATGACCTTCCTCTCTGAGGACTGGAGTAATGGAAATGGGCTGAAACGGAATTGTTCAAGGTCATCCAGCTCTTCCTCTGTCATAGTCCTATTTTTCTCTGGACTGATGATACCAGCTTTGTCTCATCAGCAAAGTTTAGAAGTACACTCCCACTTCTTGAGCCACGACCATTAATAAAAATGTTCTAGAAGAGGAAGCTCATCACACATCTAACTGGCCTTCAGGTGCTTTTACTTCTCAGGCATTTTAATTCTGAAAGCACAGAAGCACTCTCCCTGAATGTGAATAGTAGTACTCCATGGCAACTGGCTGGTGAGTTTTAATCCTGGATCATGATTATTATGTTTAATGCATTGCATTATGAAATATGAATATGTTACTAGCAATATTTGCATGTACACAGAGAGTTTATAAATTTGAACCTCACTAATGGACTGAGGATCTAAACAACTTCCCATTAACAACAACGCCGTTTTGTTCTGTGGCAACAGGTTCGGTGCCGTTTTGGATTTAAGTGAAAAGTTTGGAATAAAAATACAGTTTGGCTCCCCAATTGTGAACACACTTATGCATCTGAATAACATTAAACACATGATTAATGCAGCTGAAGTCAACGATTCTAGTCACAGGAGTACAATTACTCACGTGCTTAAGTGCTTTCAGAACAGAAGCTTTAATTCCCCAGTATCTCCCTCCTGCTTTTCAGCAGATTTGTGAAGCTCAGATCAGGTGCCCTACCAGTGACATCTAGGATGGCATTTTTATCAATTTTAAATGACGACACGTTCAAATAAAGCAGAGATCTGCAAAGCAGGTGCAAATAATTCTGCCCAAGATGGACAGATACTCACACCTGGAGGTGCGAGATGAGCTGACCCACGGTGATCTCCTCTGCTATCTTCTGGTACAGAGTATGGCTGTTCAGCACCATGCTTTCCAGGATGGCTAGCGACCGCTGGAGAATGGAGACGTCCAGCGTGGGCTGACTGACGTACCCTGCAATCTAAAGACCAGCAGGTCAGCAGAGGCCCACCCTGGAGCCAAGCTGGAGTGCTTCAATGCCAGCAGCCAGAAAGGGCAGGGCCAGTGGGCTAGGGTGAGATACAGTGACCACACTGAACTCTCAACATGAGCACCATGTCATGCTGCATTCAGCTGTGCACAGACTTCAACTGTGGAGCCAGGCAGTAGCGAGACCTCTCACCCCTTCTGACTCTGAATGCAACCTGCCACAGACATATTACCCTCTAGCCTTTTCCACCAGGGACCATTTGGAGCTACACTGTTACTTTCACGTTCCTTCCATGTGCTGCCATCTCGTGCCCTTCTCCCACTGCACCCTCCCCTGACATCCCACGCTGCTCCATTCCACCTCCTGCCTGACGACATGTGGGCATCCTCCTGATGCACGGTGTCCTGTGTCTCCCACGAGCCACTCCCATGCCATCTCTTTTCTACCATGGCTCTGCACCAGTCCTGGCTCTACCCTTCCACCTGCCACATTGCAGCAAACCCTGCTCCCTGCCCCCTAGGCCACCCTTCTGCTGCTCAGACAAGCCCTCCCCATCTCCTCCTGCTGGGGCCTCACCTGCTTGATGAAAGTTATGGAGACCATGTCCCAGGAGACGATGCCATGGTCCATGAGCTCTAGGAAGGCCGTCAGAGTGAACGCCAGCATCTCACTGTAGCTGAGAGAAGGGAGGGAGTGCAGCTAGAGGAGATGAGGCAACCCAGTAGTAGTAACAGGAGAAGCGCTGCTCTTGCAAATGGACGAGAGAAGTCTCTCTCAGAAAACTACAGGACAATGCACCTGTTCAGCCTGTTCCAGACCCTTCCCCACCTTGAGGGCCCATTCCCCTGCCCTGTGCCAAGGTGTCAAAACCTGCCAGGGGACATGGCATTTATGTGGCTCTTGTGTGATGAGCTGCAAGTGCCAAGCAATGCTGGTAGTCAGCAATAAGCCCAATGTACCCTCATTCTCTCCCTGCACTGCCGGTCCCCACAGTGCCCATCTGAGCTGCTCCAGCCATACCAGAAGGTACCTGCTCAGCCTGTAAAACATGCTGAGCTGTTCTGTTTCAGGCAGGATCCCCCAGCCATGAGACCTGCTTGCAGATACCTGCTGCATCCCAAGCTGCTTTAAGGAGGTACACAGGCAGCAGAAGTTGAGGCAAAGGAGCTGAGCTTGGGCTAAAAATGGCTATGGCTGTGTCATCCCCACCAGCCCGCCTGAGATAAGCCCCTGACCATCCTGCTGCTGGACCTCATTATCCTGCTCCTAACATCTGCTCTGTCCTGCCTGAGACAAGGGGGCAGCTGGGGACAGGAAACAACCATTGCCAAGTCTCCACTTGGTTCAGTGGAGTCCCAATCAACAGCACGACCACGGACTAGAGCTTTGGCCATCACAGTCCCCTCATGTGTCATAGATTCATAGATGCTCGGGTCGGAAGGGACCTCAATAGATCGAGTCCGACCCCCTGCATAGGCAGGAAAGAGTGCTGGGTCTAGATGACCCCAGCTAGATACTCATCTAACCTCCTCTTGAAGACCCCCAGGGTAGGGGAGAGCACCACCTCCCTTGGGAGCCCCTTCCAGACCTTGGCCACTCGAACTGTGAAGAAGTTCTTCCTAATGTCCAGTCTAAATCTGCTCTCTGCTAGCTTGTGGCCATTATTTCTTGTAACCCCCGGGGGCACCTTGGTGAATAAATACTCACCAATTCCCTTCTGTGCCCCTGTGATGAACTTATAGGCAGCCACAAGGTCGCCTCTCAGCCTTCTCTTGCGGAGGCTGAAGAGGTCCAGGTGCCCCAGTCTCTCCTCATAGGGCTTGGCCTGCAAGCCCATAACCATACGAGTGGCCTTTCTCTGGACCCTCTCCAGGTTATCCGCATCCCTCTTGAAGTGCGGCGCCCAGAATTGCACGCAGTACTCCAACTGCGGTCTGACCAGAGCTCGATAGAGGGGAAGTATCACCTCCTTGGTTCTGTTTGTCATGCTCCAACTCCTGGCCAAATAGCACCCTGCACCCCTGCGTTTCTGGGACTCCCATTAGGATTCTCACCAGGCGGCTGCAACCAGCCTTTGAAATCCAGGATTGGATTTCACCTCCCTGCTCTATCTCCCCTCATCCCCGTCTTTCTCTTCCTGACATCTGTCTAGCAAGTCTGGCTTCACCAACCAGGACAATTCCCCCTCTGCACAGCTGCTGTGAACCTGATTAATGCCATAACCCTGCACAAGTCTGCCAGGTGCCCTTGTGGCTAGTACAAGAGTGAAAAGGGCCCGTGCTCTCCCCCTAACCAGAATGCAGAAGGGAAATTCTTCCGGTCAGAAGCTGCAACATGTTGTTCTTTTCCCCTAATTTGTGCCAGGTGGCCTTGCCTTGCCTCAAATAGAGAACAGAGCAGGATCCAGCTTCAGCAAGACCAGACGGGACGCTCTCCTGCTGACTTCCCCAACCAGAACACTTGACACCATCTTTTAACAACATCTCATAGAGAGAAGGAAATGAATTTTATCCCAGAAGACTTGAAAAGGGAAGAGAAGTGGCTGCAACTTCTAAACAAGGGTTAACTTTGCTATTTGGAGTTCCCAAGGCTGCTACTGTCTCCTTTGTCCTGGGTGTTAATAACAGGTGACGCTATTTTTAGGGCGGCTGTGACATTGGCAGCTGCCAACAAGAGCTAGATGCAGAAGCTCAGCCACAATTAACCATTTGTGGTGTCATACTATGCTTACTGGGACAGGAGCTTGGTGCCGCTCTCCACCAGACGTGTCAGCACTGTGATGCCCTCCATGTTGATGAACTCTGTGGCAAAGGTCCCGTCTGCAGAGAGCTTTGCCAGCTCTTTCATGGCATCCAGTCGGGCCTCCATGCTGTGTGACTGGATCCTCTCCATCAGCTGGCGAGCTGCCCTGGACTGGGAACAAGAGGGACCCAGCTGGTCACTCACTGGTCACCTGCAGCTGAACACCAACAGCTGCACGAGTCTGAAGCTAGGCAGAGGGAACATACCAGGGCCAGAGCGCTACTGGCTCTGACAGAATTTTGCTGCACCTAGCTGGACTTGGGGCTACTGCCAGCTTGCGGTAACTGTGGCTAAGGGCAGGTGTGTCAGTGTTTCTTCCTCATGCTGGGCGAGCTGCCCATTTCCCTTCCGTGGACCCTGCGTGAGGGATGGGGGGAGGGGGCAGCTAGAGAGGAGGAAGGTGCGGTTGCTGAAACCGTAAGGTTAAAGACATGCAGGGCCCACCAACCTCTCTTTGCTCCAAAGGAAAATCTCTAAGGCTTCTCATGCATTCACCGCCTGGGAAACATGATGCCTGGGAGGCTAGAGGCAGTCGCAGGGAAGCTTCAGGGGCTATCAAGGGAGACAGCCCAATGGGTCAAGTTGCCCGAAGCTACTGAGAAGTGGCATTCCCTACCAGGCTGAGCCCCCGCAGGGAAGCTACTGTCCATCTACAGCACACAGGGGTGCTTCCACCAGGGAGAGCGATAACAAGAGAACCGCACCCCACGGCAAGTGACGCATGAGAGCACGACCCAGCAGTGTCAAGGCACCACAGTGGACTCATGGGGCAGGGAAGACCCTGCACTGGGGAGGGGCTGAGCGGAACAACGGACGCAGAGAGGCACGTACCGGGGAGACAGCCAGCTGCAGGATGGTCCCATTCTTGATGTCGCAGCGAGTCTGCAAGGGGGACAGACAGAGAAGCCTCTGAGCAGCAGCAGCAGGCGGGGAGTGGAAATGCAGCCAGTCATGGGATACTTTGATGCATGCATGTGGCGCAGGGGAAGGCTGAGTATGCCAGACAGGACCTGCACTGGCTCACAGATGCCTCCCTGGTTAACGGGCACAGAGGGGATGTCCTTCCCTTCCTCCCCTGGGAACCAGGACTGCAACTGCTCAAATATCGCGCCCCCAGCCCCCTCCCGGGAGCAGCCAGCCAGGGCCCGTCACTGACCTGCTCCGTGATGTATAGCTGGGGCCCATCGGCATATCGCAGTGTGTAGTACTCAGGGTTTGGTAGTGACCACCTGGGGGAGAGGAACGACACATGGAGCCCTGCATTTGCCTGGAGCAGCCTTTTTCTAGGCCCAAGGCAGGAGCAGGAGCTTGAGTGGGGTGGCTGGAAGAGAGGCTTGGAGAGAAGTCCTAAGGAGAGGGCTCTGATTCTGGAGAGAATCCCTGGGTCCCAGTTTGATCAGGACTGGGAGGTGGGCGAGAGTCTGGTGTGGCTAGGCTGACCACACGGAAGTCCCAGAAATTCAGGATGTTGCCCCTGCAGTGCTCTCTCAAGTCAGCAGGAGTAGGGCTGTGTGCCGGGCAGGCAGTGGTGTCTGCCTGCAATGGGCTCTGTGCTGCTCCGACTCCTGGCCAGCTAGCACCCTGCACCCCTGTGTTTCTGGGACTCCCATTAGGATTCTCACCAGCTGGCTGCGACCAGCCTTTGAAATCCAGGATTGTCCTGGCTAAACTGGGACATAAGGTCATCGTGCTAGACATGGCCTGTGCTGCCAGCTAGGCCCTTGCTCGAGGGCAAGACAGGCTGCAGGGCCCGAGCACTAGGTGCTAGGTCCATTTCCCAGGAACCAGCACTGATGCTGCTGGAGCCCTGGCCAGTGCACAGCCAGGCTGAAAAGCCGGGAAGAAGGCAGCCACGTGGTGCCTGCAGCAGGGTTGCAGTGTGTGGCAAAAGGCTTCCCAGTGAGGCCTGCTAGGGTGACCAGTCCCCACGGCAGGTCCCTAGAGATCCAGACTCACCCGTCACAGACCTCCTTGATGATGGATGCCAGGGGCCTTTTCTGGAAGAGAGAGAGAGAGCACACTCAGTAGTGATGTTTCCCTGGCCAGAAGAGCCTGCCTGACACTACGCCCCAACCCTGCACCACAGTGCTGCCTGGCTCTGCAACTGCCAGCCCCAGCTCTTACCTGGTCTATCTCCAGTAGCTGGGCATTGGCTCCAGGCCACTCAACAGCCACTTTCACAATGTCTGAGGGTGGCGGCATCGTCCCAGCCTACTCCAGCTCTGCCTGGACGCGGGAGAACATCCACCTGTGAAAGGGGAGCAGGTAAGCAGCTCCCTACAAGCTCTTTGGGTTCTTGTACTGCACCATCACTGTGGCCCAAGCACCTGCCAGGTAAGCAGGCCGCAGCGGGGTGGGCTGGACGGCTGGACAGGAGATCTCAGCTGGGCAGTCACCTCCCGCCGCCCTGCCCTTCCCCCCCACCACCCACACTCTAGCCCAATATGTTCATTCCCCACCCCAAACACCTTTGCCTCTTCCCTGGAAGCCACTCCGCCCCTTTGCCACTGGGGCTGCCCAGATTGGAGTGGGGCACCCAGGGCAAACACTTGGAGCAAATACCCGGCTCTGACTTGGTGTGCTGGGCTGCTGCAACACAAGCTCCTGGCAGTACAAAGGGGCCTGAGAGCTCTGACAGGTACACAGCAACATCCGTGTGCCTGCCACATCCAGCTGTGACCCCAGCAAGCGCAGCGCCTGCCCAGGACCGAGCACTGTGCGCTGTCCGCGTACCCTCGCCTGCGCTGGAGGTGGCGCTGCCTGGCTCCCCTCTTCCCAGCTTGTGATGCATTTGCTTCTGCAGGCAGGTGTTTGCCTTGCTCCCCCAGGGCTGTGGTCACACCCCACCAGCGAGATGGGGCCTCTCCTCACCTCTCAGGCTGGGAGATTTCAAGCACCTTAAGTGAGATCAGAAAGGTCTTCCTTCATGGACCCTTGCCAGGGCTCCTTTTGCAGTCTAGGAATACCCCTCCTAGCAGATGAGGCCTGGTGGTATGGAATATAATTCCCCAGCCCCTCCATGTGGACAGGACCTAGGAGCAGCCCTCCCGAGAGCGAGAGCGGGCAGAGGCAGTGTCAGCCCGGAGGAGCAGAACCTGACCCAGGTGCAGCACAAGGATGGAGAGCAGGGCTGGGACGCGCAGCCTGGGAGGGCCGAGGGGATGCAGCAGCCTCTGCAACTGGCAGAGGTCTAGAGAGTCTCCTAGGTGCTCACTCCCCAGCAACTGGGAGAACTTCCCATTCCCAGGCAGGTCACTGCATCCTCCCTGCCTCGCAGTTCCTCCAGGCACCTGGCCGATGCGTGCTCCCAAGGAAGAAGGAGCTGCATGCAAGCAGCTGTCCCTCCTGGGAAGCACGTGTGCCTGGGCAGTACTGGAGATCTCTGCAGAGGTGCTGCAAGGCCACCATCGCTTCCCGTGGTGGGCAACCACAGCCCCTGAGAGACATCAAGGCAACCTAGTGCTGGCAGCGCTCCCTAACCTGCAGAGATGAGCGTCACCATGGGGAAGGGCAGGCCAGCCTGGAGCCCACTCTGGGGGGGCAGGAGGGTCTTTGCGTGCGACCACGAGGCTGTCAGCCTGTCCAGCCAACCTCCTCCCCGCAGAGGGGACTCACAGCACGAGCTGCAAGTCTCCTGCGGGACCACGGAGCTCCAGAACTAGGACGTGCCAGGCCTGCGCCACGGCTCTGTGCCGGTCACAACAGAGTGGCTGTCCCTGCCCGCGATGGAGAGCAGGGAGCAAGCTCAGCACTCCCCAGCTGTGCCTTGTGGACACAGGGTCTGACCCTGCAGAAGCACCACCCCGAGCAAACATCCACGGGCCTCGCTGGAGCCCCGAGCAACCTGCCCTTCCCCCACTGTGACCAGTGCCCTCCGGCCCAGGATTCGCCATGAGAAGGCCCCATTGAAGCTGCCCAGCTGAATATCCTCTATTGTGGGCAGCTGCAGCATCTCTGCAATGCCATGAAGCCTCTGGAAGCTGAATTTGAGCGCGAGCCGGGGCTGCAGCCAAGGCCTCCAAAAGGGAGGTGGCTGCCCTGCTTACAGCAAGCACGCACGGGTCCAGCCTTCCTACTAGCGACCGGTGACCTGGTGCTGTCCCGACCCACAGCCCTGCCCCTCCGACCCAGGGGGAAGCCAGGATCCAGGCCCCGCACCCAGCCTTAGACTCGCTGACAGCGATGCAGCGCAGCTCCACAATCAGGCCTGCGGATCAGGACGGCTCGACTCCAGCACCCCAAAACACCCTGCCAGCGTGGGCACTCTCCCACAGACCCCTGCCCCTCCTGGCCCACCCCTCTGCTCTCAGCTGCCCGCCACGGGCCAGGGCATCCCCCACACAGTTCGGTGCAAGGAACGCGCACGCTGCAGCAAGCGGCAGAAGGTGCCTGGTGCAGAAAGCAGGGAGCCAGCAGCAGCAGCCCCCACCCAAGCGCGATGGGTGCAGGTCACACCAGCTCCTTAAGCCTCCCCGGGGAAGACGTGCCCAGTGACTCCCAGCACAGCGTGAGAGAGACCAGAAGTGCAGGAGATGCCTTGGGCAACGGGCGGCGCCATGCCCAGTTCTTGTTCTGGGGGTGAAGCCGCCAGGCCCACCCCTCGGGCACCAAGGCAGCACTCGCTATTCCCCCATGCCCAGGCCAGCTCTCCTGCCAGACCCCCGTGGAAGCGCCGGGGCGGCAGAGCCTGGGGGCCTCGTCGCCTGCCCCGGACCTCCTGCGCAATCGCCCGCAGGAAGTGACACTCACCGCGGGGGCAGCTCACGGGCCTGGACCGCACAGAGGCAGCCAGGGAGCGCTGGAAGAAAGCGCCGCTCCCACGGCCCAAGATGCTGCCTCAGCACATCGCTGCCCTGTTGCCACGGGCTGCGCTGCTGCCTCTGCTGCGCAGCACAGCGATCTTCTCCCACTTACGGTGGGAATCTGCTTTAACCCTCTCCTGCCTCCTGCTCAGGAAAGCAAACGCCCTGCACCCTCCCGAAGGCAGCCCGGGCCCTTCCTTTCGGCGACGCTGCTAACGCGGAGCGTGTTCCCGACAGAGCTGCGGCCAGAGCCTGGGGGATCGTCCAGCCTCACCGCAGCCTCGGGCTGGGCTCTGCTCCTTCCCGTCAGCCGGAAGCAGGGTCCTTGGCTCCGACTGCTGGAGGCTGAAGAACTGGAGACCACGAGCGCGCCTCGGGGCAGCCTGTTCCGTGTCCCATGGCCCGCTCAGAGCCCCCCACGGACGGAACAGCAGCAGTCAGAAGCCAAACGACAGGGATGCTTCGGATCCTGCCGTGCCTGAGCAGCCCCGGCTGCCTGGGAACAAAGCCACAGGACCAGCTCCAAGACTGCGGGGGCCGTAGCCATAGCAACTGCTTCCCCGCACTGGCTCTGACCTCCCTCGGGGCTGCCCTGGCACCGCAGCGCTGGTGAGGAAGGAGCTCAGGCACACACTGCCACCACTACCTGGATGACCCAGTGGTACCCTGCACCTGCCCCTTCTCCGCAGCTTCTACCACCCACACCAGCTCCCGACCCTGGTGCTGGGGAGCAAGACAGCCCAACAGCACGGCCAGGTCACAGGAGGGAAGAAATACCTGTCATGGGGTAGCCCGAACCATGCGCACCGGAGGGGAGAGCCCTGCCTGGCCTCCAGAGCCTGGATCCCACCAGTATCCAGAGAACTTCGACACGGAGGGCAAGCCAGGCCAGAAAGCCTCTCGTGCACCGAAGGGATCCACGTGAGGACACGCTTGAGGATGAACAAGGACGGCTGGTAACAGACAGGAAGGCTGAAGCAGAGATTCTAACTGAACTCTTTGCACCCGTGTTCCTGGACACGAACACGAATACACATCCCATTAGGACTTTAGACAAGCCCAGGACAGATACCAACCCACCAGTGGTTCATGCAGACCTAGTAAGGGGGCATCTGGAGGGGCTGCATGTATTTAAGTCAACAGGCCCTGATGATCTTCACCCGAGGGTACTTGGGGAATTAGCTGGAGTCATAGCGGACTCACTGGCACAACTGTTTGAACACTTGTGGTGCTTGGGACAAGTCCCAGAGGATTGGAAAAGGGCCAGTGTGGTTCCTATTTTCAAGAAGGGGAGGAAGGAGGAACCAGGTAACTACAGGCCAGTTAGTCTTATCTCTATTCTTGGCAAGACCTTTGGGAAAATAGTTAAAGATCACATTTGCAGGGGACCAGCGGGTAAAATAATGCTAAGGGGCAATCAGCATGGGTTCACAGCAGGCAGATCCTGCCTGACCAACCTAGTTTCACTTTACAACCGGGTCACAAAATGCTTGGATGAGAGAACAGAGGTAGATGTTGTTTACCTAGACTTTAAAAAGGGCTTTGATACAGTGTCACCCCCAATTCTTATAAATAAACTAAAAAACTGCAGTGTAGATTATTACACAGTCTGGTGGGTGGAAAATTGGCTTATGGGATGCACCCAGAGAGTGGTGGTAGATGGGCGGCTTCTGCCTGGAGAAATGTAGGCAGCGGAGTCCCCCAAGGCTCTCTCCTGGGACCGGTACTATTCAAAATTTTCATTAGTGACTTGGACGAGGGAGTAGTAAGCACCCTGTCCAAGTCTGCTGACGACACAAAGCTATGGGGGAGGTAAACACACTAGAGGGCAGGGAGCAAATCCAAGTGGATTTGGACAGGCTGGGGAAGTGGGCGGAAGAGAACAGGATGCAGGTTAACAAGGACAAGTGTCATGTGCTGCTGCACCTGGGCAGGAGGAAGAATCATCAGCACTCCTATAGTCTGGGAGGGACCAGTTTAAGCAGAACAACTGCAGAAAGGCATCTCGGAGTCATAATCGACTCCAAAATGAACATGAGTCACCGGTGTGATGAGGTAATAAGTAAAGCTGACCACACTCTTCGTTGCATAAGTAGGTACATCACAAACAGGTCTAGGGAGGTCTTCCCCTCTGTGCAGCACTGGTCAGGCCACAGCTAGAGTGCTATGTCCAGTTTTGGGTGCCACACATAAAAAGGGATGTAGGTAACCTGGAAAGGGTTCAGAGGAGGGCCACCAGATGGTTAAAGGCCTACAGAAAAAACCCTATGAAGAGTGATTGAGAGACCTGAATCTTTTCAGCCTCCACAAGAGACAGCTGAGAGGTGATCTTGGGGCTGTCTACAAACTCATCAGGGGGGGACAGCAGGAACAGGAAGTGGGGGATATAGTGTTTACCAGGGCGACAGTCGGGGTAACTAGAAACAAAGGACACAAGTTAAAAGAGAACAAATTCAGACTGGACATCTGGAAAAACTTCTTTACAGTGAGGGTTGCCAAAACATGGAATAGGCTTCCAAGGGAGGTGGTGTTGTCCCCTTCCTTGGAAATATTCAAAAGGAGATTGGATGACACCTGGCTGGGGTCATCTGACCCCAGCGCTCTTTCCTGCCAGGGCAGGGGGTTGGTCTCGGTGATCTAATAGGTCCCTTCTGACCCTAATAACTATGAAACTATGAAATGACAGAGCTCTCCTGACCCCCAGCTGCTAGCGCAGAGGGATGAACCACTGAGACGAACAGACTCAGTCTGCTGCAGAAAGCCCGCCCCAGCAGACACCCACAGCAACAGCAGCCATCGTACCAGGCATCTGGCAGCTTCCTTCAGTGCTGCAGGAGGAGTAGGGGAGTTAGACACCAAATGCACGGAACATGGACTCACCAACACCCCATTCCACCACGAACAGGCACAAGACATCATGGCAACACCCATGATCTAAGCATTGGCACTTGCTTGAGGACGTCACTGTTTGTGCCCAGGATTGCAAAGGTGCCTGCATCACCTGAGCTATGGTAGGAGATGACGATTGCTGGACCCATCACCGACTCATCTGCTCAGTTTTGTCACTCAAACTGGCTCCCAAGTGGTGGCTGCAGCAGAAGCAGAAGATCAGTGTTGAAGGATTCAGGGACCCAATCAAGCAAGACCCCTTCCACCAGTGCCTCAAAGAAAAACTGGCAAATTCCAGTCAACAACAATGGGAGAATGTCGGCAGCACTTGGGGTGCCTTCACATCCACCATCATCAGCACCTGCAAAGCGACAATCGGATTCTCCACCAGAAAGCATCAAAACCAGTTTGGTGAGAATGACTGGGAGATCCAAGAGTTGATTGATCACAAGTGGAAGGCTGTTTGTACTTGGCAGAATGACACCAACTCCAAGCAAAATAAACTGAATCTTCAACAAGCCAAGCAGAGGTCCAAAGAAGGACCCACGATTTGAGGAACAGATGGTGCAAAGACAAGGTGAAGGAGATTCTACGTATCTCACTGACAACCACAGTCTTTTCAATGCCAAAGCCATCTATGGTCGGAGCACTCAGGGACTGACCCCCCCTGAGACCTAAGGATGGAGGAGACCTGATCAAGGAAAAGGAAGCCATCAATGTCTGGTGGAAGGAGCATTTTGAACACCTTCTCAATCAAGACACTGTAGTTGACGAGAGTCTTCTCACCTCAATCCTGCAACACCCACTCAGAGGCGCTCTCAGAATCCCTCCTACCCTTGGCAAGGTGAGGAAAGCTATCAAGCAGATGAAGAACAACAAGGCATCTGTGGAAATCTTCAAGCAGGGGGGAGAGGTGCTTGCATCACAGCTCCATGCCCTTATCTTAAGGATCTGAAACTATGAGGAAATCCCAGCTGACCTCAGGAATAGTGACAATCTTCAAGAAAGGAGACAAGTCTGACTGTGGGAACTACAGAGGGATTGCCTTGATGTTCACTACAGGAAAGATCATTGTGGGAACCCGCCTGAACCATCTCTTTCCACTTGCTGAAGAGCTCCTCTCAGAGTATCAGTGGATCCTCAGGGTTTAGGGCATCAAGAGGCACAACTGACATGATCTTCACAGCTTGCCAGCTGCAGGAGAAATGCTGGGAACATAAACCTCTCTGCATGGCCTTTCTTTGACCTCATGAAAGCCTTCAACTCTGTCGACTGAGAAGCACTGTGGAGGATCCTTTTGAAGTACAGATGCCCACAGAAATTCATCACCACTTGTTGCCTGATCCATGACAGTACATGAGTGGTAGTTCTCCATAACAAATCTATCACAGATCCCTTTGAAGTTAAGATGGGAGTTAAGCAAGGCTGCATCATCACTCCAACACCCTTCTCAATATTTCTTACTGCAATGCTACATCTGACCACCAATAGGCTTCCAGTTGGAGGGGAGCTGAACTGCTGAATGGATGATAAACTGCTTAATCTCAGCTGACTGAGCCAAAACCAAGACCACCCTGACCTCAATCACCAAGCTCCAGTACACCGCTGATGCTGCAGTGCGTGCTCACTCAGAAGCAGACCTTCAGGCAATTGTCATCATCTTTACCGAGGCAGACAAGCAAATAGGACTGACACTTAACATTCAGAAGACTAAGGTCCTCCACCAACAAGCTCCTAACGAACAGTCCCCCATCTCTGGTAATCCAGGTCCACAGTGAGACTCTGGAGAAAGTTGAGTATTTCCTGGACCTCAGAAGCCATCTTTCACAGAAAACCGACATCAACAAAGAAATCCAACATCGCCTTAAAAGTGCAAGTGCAGCCTTTGGATGCCTGAAGAAATGTTCATTTCTTCAAGTGTTCAAAGATCACAACATGAGATCCAAAACCAAGCTCTTGATTTATCAAGCAGTTGTGATCCCCCACCTTACTGCATGGAGCTGAGATGTGGACAGCGTACAGGAGACCCCTCAAGTCACTGGAGAAGTGCCATCAGCACTGCCTGCAAAAGATCCTTCAAATCCAGTGGGAACATAGATGCACCAACATTAGCGTCCTCTTGCAAGCAAGTCGAGGCAATGATCATCTGACATCAACTTCGCTGGGCTGGCCACGTCATCCAGATGTCCAACTTCAGATTCCCAGCCAAGTTTTATTCTCCTAGCTCAGCCAAGGTGTACGCTCAAGAGGAGGGCAGAGAAAGCACTTCAGGGATGTCCTCAAGGCCAGCTTAAAAAAAAATGCAACATTGATGTCAACTCGTGGGAGACCATCACCCAGGACCTCCCCAGATGGAGGAAGTCTGCTGCAAGGATCTCAGTACTCTGAAACTTTAAGATGACAACAGGAGATGGAAAAGCAGGAGCAACAGAAACAACAAAAACAAGAATCCAGATCCATCCACCCTGTACGGAAACACCCGCCTCAGTTGAAACAGAGTCTGTCGGTCCCGGGTTGGCCTTGTCAGCCATATTCATACCCACAGATAAGACCATGGAAGAAAATAATCCTCGACTGCGAGGGATTGCCAAAGAAAGAACGCACAAGCCGCGGCCCCACCCTACAGACCCCCAGGGACAGTGCGTGGCCGCCAACTGCTCCAAGCCCGCGAAGCCCAGGGGCAGGGCAACGTAACAGAGGTCAGCCATAGGCAGACGGGTTCCAGCTAGCATGGGACCTTCCCACCCTGCTCCCCATTCAGTAGCTAGGAGCTCTTGGTCATGAGGAATGAGCACAAAGGCAGGACCAAGAGCTCCGCTGACCATGGCCTGCGCTACCTGCACAGGAAATTTCCCACAAGCAGATGACTACATGGGGCCCACTCTCCCCAACACCTCCCCCTCCCGCCTCTGCATCTCTGAGGATGAAGGCACGCAAGGCCTGTGGCCAGAGGGGCAAAGCAGGCTCAGAGAGTTTCCCTGACTGTCTGAATTGCTATGCGCAAGTTCCAATTCTTGCACCTGCAATTAATTTAGCTGGAATGCATCCTGGCCACGAGGCCTGCTGGTCTGAGAGCACGAGACGAGGAACACAGGGGACGAGCTAGGATTTCCAGGGAGCTGCCCGATCGGGTGTTTGCAGCTGCCTCCCACCACCCTTCCCTGCGCTGCAGCCGGAGCGGAGATCTGCCGTCTCAATCCCCTTCCAGCGTAGTCACAATCCTGCCTGAGAAATTCCCTTGCCAGCAAGGATGGTGCCTCCAGGGTTCATAGGTTGTGAGGCACAAAGCCCACGGCAGGATGCAGAGACAAGGAGGATGTTACCAGGTTTACTCAGCGCCCGGCGGCAAGATGCCCAGGAAGCTCTGGGCAGCACCTCTCCTGGGGGGGGATCTGCCTCCTCTTCTACCAGGACACAGCCCTGGCCGAGTGAGAAAGGGAAGTGCGGCCCAACACGAAGCGATTTGGTACGAAGGGGAAATTTGCAGTTATAAATAGGCCTCCTGCTCCACAAGGCAGCAGCAGCAGCGGTGCAGAAGCCAAGCACAGCCCTGCAGCGCAGGGCGAGGTGAGCCTCACTAAACCGCTGGCACCCGTTTCCCCTTTCAGAAGAACCGCGCGTGAAAAGCATGAGCACGAGCACAGGTGAGGCGCGGGACCGCGCCACGAGCACACAGCCGTCGCTGCCCCGAGCCCTCGGGCGCTGGTGCTGCGCTGCGCTGCGCGTGCGGTGCAGAAGCCAAGCACAGCCCTGCAGCGCAGGGCGAGGTGAGCCTCACTAAACCGCTGGCACCCGTTTCCCCTTTCAGAAGAACCGCGCGTGAAAAGCATGAGCACGAGCACAGGTGAGGCGCGGGACCGCGCCACGAGCACACAGCCGTCGCTGCCCCGAGCCCTCGGGCGCTGGTGCTGCGCTGCGCTGCGCGTGGCACGGGCACCACCTGCCCTGCCCCTAGGACGGCCCC